AAAATTCTGTCATCGTAAGCAATTCGTATTGTTCTGCCCATGTGTAGTTTCAAATGAGATAGTTTGTGTGTGGACTCGGGGCGAAATATTGTCATGATGTGCCATAACCAATTCGGTAGCTATAGCAAAAATAAGAAAAAAAAATATTGTATTGCCTGCCTAAACAGAAAGAAAATCTGTGCCAGTTATTTATTTTAAAGGTAAGATTGCCAAAACTAGAGAAACTGACACATTAAAAATTGTTATATCTCCACAAATTTTCATTTCATTAAAATTTTTTTGTAAAACAATGCAAATTCCCTCTTTAATCCAGAACATCTAACATATTTTACGTATGTTATTACTAACTACAAAAGACAAATCAACTTGCCAAACAGTAAAACATCATATAATTTATAAATTTGTTTCAGTTTTCCATTGGTTTTGAAAGACTTACCCAAAATAACAATGAATTGATATTGCTATTCAAAAATTTACAATTCATTTTGCTATAAATCACCAAAAATTAAGCGCTGGATGATTCCAATCATGATTTTATAACAAATGATAACTTTTTTAAAATCATTATTTAAGTTATTTTTTCAAATATACAAAATATTAAGTTATAGAGATGAAGACTTAAATCAATACATAGTTAATACAACGAATAGTCGTATTTCTTTGAAACTTTTTCACATAATTGAAGAATTCCGAGAAAAAAATACCAATGTTATATACATTAAAATGAGCAGCTTTATGAACATGAACAATAAACACGTTGTAGTAGTTATTTACTAAGTGGACTTGGATATATATTAGTTTTTATTCTAGCATTCATTGTCTGTAGATAATAGCAAAATTTAAAGAACAATACACCACACCCGAGCTGTTTCAGGAAAACACAAAATCTTCAACAATTTGTAATTCTAGATTTGGAGTAAAATGTTTGCTAATGCCACAAAGTATAACATCTTAGAGAAGATTAAGCATGAATAAAAAATGAATTTTATTGCATACTCACTTAAGAAAAAAAATTAATATTTAAAAAAACTAATAAAAAACGCGAAGTTAATCTTACTAATTTTAATAATTGGTAACTTTTTCCTTGTATATAGTGGCTAAAATACCATTTAAGTGGAAGAACAGGACAACTATTAATAGAATTAAATTTCAAAAACTGTCTAATATTGCTTGAAGTTTTTTGTGAAATAAAAAGTTGTTTTTAAACAGTAATGAGGATTTTTTTGCATAAAAAGAGATGTCTTTTTCGACCCATGCTGACAGGTTAGTTGCTACAAGCTTATTCCATACGTGAACCACTATGCAGAAGTGCATGAAACTATAAAGTACTAACACATTAAAGTTTTCTGGGTATAGGCGCAGTATTGCCCACCAAACCCTCAAAGGTTATAGATCATGTTGAAAAAAAACAAACTAAAACAAACAATAAGAATGATCAAAATTTAAAAACTTCATGGTTTTCACTTTTCTGCCTTTTAAAGTAATTAAGGATAATTAAATCAACCTTTACCAATTTGGTTTAAAGTATAAACATCTAATACAAATATTTAAAAAATATTATTAAATCAATGTTAATCTGATCATAAAAGCGAAAAGCAGATAATACTCTTGAATAATCTCTACACGCGCCACAATGAATTCGCCACAACGCTTACTTGAAAATACGCGCAAAAACGCAAAACAGCCTTGCGCTATCTGCACCAGTCCGGTGATGAGAAAACAAACTTATCCCCCGCCTTTTAAACATTGCAGTGAACCGGCCCTGAGGCAGCTTCTGTAAAAAAATTGCAGGTATAGTGGGGAGAAAGATCATCGAATACATATGCGGTAAATCGTTCCGCGTTTCTAAAATAAAATAGATCTCTTGTACGATCTTGAAAATAGGTTGGAGTGTGCGTGTAAATGGCTGTTAACGAAACTATCATTTGAAGAAGAGCAAGTTCTGATGGACTAATGGAGAATTTATATCTTTTAAGCGAAAGTAGTAATAAAAATAGAAGAGTAAATAGTTATTGTATTTTACAATGTTACACATGACTTGTAAAAATTAATGACCATAATCGCAAATAAAATATGGAAGATAGTATATCGGTAGTAATGGTTACTAACAAATTAATCTATATATGAGTTTATGCCCAAATGAAGTTCGCACCTTTCTGGTTAAGTAATCAAGAAGCAATGTTTTTCTTGCTAAAATTGCATTGAAAAAAACAAAACAACATATCACATTTATATAGAATTATAAAAAATAATGATTAAGATGCTCGTTGAATAGCAGTGCACTTGGGAAAGTTAATAGAATTCTTACTATTTTCCTAATTATAGTAAGTTCTTACAACCTGGTTAATGTTTCAATGGGTCAAGCATGGCACTGAAGAATTTTTATTCAGATTTTCCCCTTCTGCCCAATGGTGATTTATAGTGGAAAAATAACAGTAGATCGAGATTGTTTATAATCATGTATATTAAGTTAAAAAGAATGTAGAACAACAGTTCAAACAAGTAAAACATTTCATCTGTTTGTGTGAACATTATAAAAAAAGAAAACTATTAGAGAGCAAAAGTCGTTTGATTGCAAAAATCAGAATGGATCAGTATCTTTTCGTGTAGGACACAATTTCTTACTGAAACTGTTTTAATACTTAAGAATATGTGTTGGTAAGACTGTGTCTTGTAGACATGAAGATTCCACATTACACACATTCCGCCGAGCAAGTTTTCGTACGAAATTTCATTCTCTAATGTTGAGAAGTTTCCTTTTCAATTGTGTTTTTTTTAAGATATTAAAATTAATATAACCAACGTTCTTTGCATTGCATTTAAAAATTGACTAAGCTAATGATTTGATAACGATTTATTGTAAAATTTTATCATTGTTTATTTTACGGGTTATTCAGTACATTATAACATGAAAAGTCAGTGCGGGAAAGTGGTTTGCTAGGCCTTACACAGCTGAAAATAAAAAGTATTTTTGCTGTTTTGAGAAATCGTGTAAGCCTTTTACATGTGTTAACATTTTTTTGATTACACTTGGTGTGACTGTATTCATCTATATTTCAGCGTCAAAGAAGAGCCTGTGTTCGAGAATGAAGACATTGCTGGGAATCATGTGAGTTGTTTTGTAAGTAGTGTTATTGACCGCATTAATGTCTTTTGAGACACTTGATGCTTGTATCACATTCACAGTATGTTTCTGCAAAATAGTACTAGTAGAAAAATAAAGTTGTGGGGGTATGTTCATCTTTACATTTATTTCTTACATTTAGTTAGATTCACTTTCTGTTTAAGTATGTCATGGTTCCCTGAATCTTCAGCTCTTTCTCTATAATGGGTATAGATCATTGTTGACCTTGATTCCTTTGGAGTAGTTTTCTACTATTTCTCAGTATTGCTTTTGCGGAGCGTCTTTCATAACTACTTTAATAGTCTGGGTTTTTAATTTCTCCTGTTCAGTTTTCCCCCAGTTGCATATTACATCACACACCCTGAAATCCATATTAAACAATTACCCAGAACACTCGCAGATGGTGGTCTTGATCTTGAGCTTCTCTTCACCACTCCAGAAAACAATAAATTTCTCTTGGCAGTCGGCGTTTCTGTTGTCTCTTCTAAGAACCTTAGCATTTGACTTTGGATGGCTGCCAGGCTATTTAATTTCATTCAGTATTTTTCTAATCTTTATCACTGCGTATCTTTTTTGTAAGCGGTTCCAATGTATCACATCTTTTTTCAAGTTTTGTCACATTTTTCTCTGCAGTTATCAATATTGGAGGACAGTCTTGTTCAAACGCATATCTAAACAGTTTTTTTTCACGTCATTTTTGAACATTCAAGCCTCCTTTCTGGTGTTTTGTAAATTTATTCATGTAAAGTATTTTGCCTCTCAGTTTCTTAGTTTGTGTTTCCATAATCAAATACAACATTATGAACGTAAAGTTTTGTTTTTTTCTCGTGCATTCCACCTCAGGGAGACTTCTTTCTGTATGTAGTAGTGACTACATTACTATCTTTGGCACCAAACATAACCGACTTGGACCGTCCACTACATGCAGCAACACAGTGTTATCAGAAGTCTTGCTTACAGCCACAACCAACTCTGATCCCACCGCCACACTAGTACTCGTGTATGTTTGTTGTCTATTAAAATTATGCGGTGGAGAGCAGGTAAATGCGACAAGAATTCCGTTGTTAAAAGTTCACAAGTTTTTGTACTTATGAAAATCTCTCTCTCTCTTCTTTAAAATTAATCATTGAATAAAAATTGAAGCTAAAAATCAGAAAAATCAATGTTACATTAATGGGTGTAAAGTAATAGATTTCAATTTTTTTCAATTAATCTATGATGATGCTATTTTATTCCATAAATAGCTTTTGCCATCTGTGTAGCATGACACAGCTCGATGTGAGAAATATATCTCATTTTGGCATGCCATGAAGAAAAATTCTTCTTCGTAATTGATTTTTTGGTTTAATTGAAAAAAATCAACCTCGCGTGGTGCTACTTTCAGATATAAAGATGATACCAAAATTATGGTCTTACTCATATAAATGATATTGCTTTTAAAACAACTAGGTTTTCCAACAAAATGCTTAGGAAATAACCAAGCTAATGTACAAAAACCTGCAAAACAGTTGATGAACTCACACTGATGAACATGAAACTATTGTTATAACTCATGTAAAAGCTTTTGTTTCAGATAATTGATCCAAGCAAAACCACCCAAAAAATTTTTTAAAATTTAGATTATTATTAAAAAAATTAAGAGAATTCAAATTCAAAACAGCTGAAAAGAAATTTCATTTTTGTTTAATGAAGTCCCAATTCACTTGCAGAATCAAACAAAAGAAAGAGTCTTGTTATCTTCATCTGTATAAAGATTTTAAGTATTTCTTTTTTAAAATACACCTATTTATGTATTAAAAATATCTCTAAAACTGCCACATCTACAAAAAACTCAAAAAAGTTTTCAAATACGACAGTATTTAAATACAAGTATTTAAATACATATGGTAAACCTGTTCTCGCGTTTCTAAAAAAATAAAAATAGATCTCTTGGTTACGATTTGGAAAAAGGTTTTGGAGTGTGCTGTAAATGGCTGTAACGAAACATATCATTGTGAAGAAGAGCAAGTTCTGATGGCCAATGGAGAATTATATCTTTTAGCGGAAAGTAGTATAAAAATAGAAGAGGTAAATAGTTATTGTATGTTTCACATGTTACCACATGACTTGTAAAAATTAATGACATAATCGCAAATAATAATATGGAAGATAGTATAATCGGTAGTAATTGTTACTAACAAATTAATCTATATATGAGGTTATGCCCAAATGAAGTTTGCACCTTTCTGGTTAAGTAATCAAGAAGCAATGTTTTTCTTGCTAAAATTGGCATTGAAACAACATATCAGCATTTATATAGAATTTAAAAAATAATGATTAAGTTGCTCGTTTGAATAGCAGTGCACTTGGAAAGTTTAATAGAATTTCTTACTATTTCCTAATTATAGTAAGTTCTTATACAACTGGTAATGTTTTCAATGGGTCAAGCATGGCACTGAAGAAATTTTATTTCAGATTTTCCCCTTCTGCAATGGTGATTTTATAGTGAAAAATAACTAGTAGATGAGATTGTGTTATAATCATTTATATTAAGTTATAAAAGAATGTAGAACAACAGTTCAAACAAGTAAACATTTCATCTTTTGTTGTGAACATTTATGAAAAAAGAAAACATTTAAGAGCAAAAGTCGTTTATTGCAAAATCAGAATGGATCAGTATCTTTTTCTGTGTAGGACAACAATTCTTATGAAACTGTTTAATACTTAAGAATATGTGTTAGTAAAGACTGTGTCTTGTAGACACTGGACAGATTTCCACATTACACACATTCCGCACTGAGCAAGTTTTTCTGTAGATATTTCATTCTCTAATGTTGAGAAGTGTTCTTTTCATTGTTTTTTTTTTAAGATATTAAAATTAATATAACCAACGTTCTTTGCATTGCATTTAAAAATTGAATAAGCTAATAGATTTGATAACGATTTATTGTAAAATTTATCATTGTTTATTTTACGGGTTATTCATGTACATTATGAACATGAAAAGTCAGTGCGGGAAAGTGTGTTTGCTAGGCCTTACCACACTGAAAATAAGTATTTTTGTCTGTTTTGAGAAATCGTGTAGCTTTTACATGTGTTACACAGTTTTTTGATGAACTTGTGTTTGACTGTATTCTTCTATTATTTCCAGGTCAAAGAAGAGCCTGTGTTCGAGAATGAAGACTATTGCTGGAATTCCAATGTGAGTTTGTTTTGTAGTAGTGTTATTGACCCATTGTAATGTCTTTTGAGACACTTGATGCTGTATCAAATTCAACAGTATTGTTCTGCGAAATAGTACTAGTAGAAAAATAAAGGTTGTGGGGGTTTGTCATCTTTACATTTAGTTTGCATTTGAGTTATGAAGTGTTAGAATACTACTATACCATGATGTTTTTGTCAGACCTTAAATTGCAATTATTATGCTATGAGCATTGATGCTGTATATATTTATGGACCCCCACATTTTTATTTGACGGCGATGGGGTGTGTCGCGCCACCTCGTGAGGGATGTATTCTACTGGATAAGTATTCATTTATCTTTGCCAGGGATGCAATTAATCCATTTTAGGTGTCATACTTCTGATTTCCACACTCTGAAGTGTTCAAATTAAATTCAAATTGCAGAAATTGGACAATTAATGATTCTCAAGAGCATAACTGGGATTCTTTCTAATTGTGTTGCACAAGTGTAGGTGGTGCTTGTTCACCTTATCACTTCTTCGAATGTCCATGTCTAGATAAAATTGCCATTTCACATGCGAGTTTTGTAAGTAATTGTTTTTCGTGTCTGTATTTGTAAATAAACTGAAACATTTATGTAGGAAATTGTGTCAGTTGACTTCAACTTTATTTTACATTTTAAAAACTCACAATGTTTTATTTTTGGTATGTACTCCAGGGTGTCCATTACATGGTAATTTTCCTTACAGGGTAATTTTAGAAAGATACAATTTTGCTTCTCTCAAACACTATTTTGGTTTAGTCAATAAGATAATGATCTATGCAAAATTTCAGCACAGTTGCTAAGTGACCCCCATATCCCTTGAATGGAATTTAGTATATGCAACTAATAATTCCATTAAAAGCAGTAAACTATTCTCTTCTTTCTTCAATTTTTTTGACTCGTGCGTGGAACCTCAGCAATTGTGTAAAAACATTCAAAATCGTATTACTCAAGAGTTAATTCAATAATTTCTGAAATAACCTGTAAAATTAAAGTAGTATTAGTTTTTAATTACATGTACATCTAAGAGAACAACGTTAGTTTTTTCAAGTAATTTTTGTGTAATCAATGGGCAAACTGAACATATTTTCGTGCTAAGAGAGGATTTACTAGCAGTTGGGTATTTCTTATGATCTTTGGCAACAGTGTGTAAAACAAAATTTCAATTTCATCTTTTGTAAAGAATTTGTTATAATCCTGAATGTGTTCAACTCCTCTTTCTGCAACATCATTCAACATATCTTCTGAAACTTTTGTTTCCACTTTTGTAGCCAGGATTATTGTGGCTTATTGAAGAGTCTTTATCAAGAAAATATCCTGACAGAAAATCTCATGAAAAAGTTTTGTACTATACGGGCACTCATATTTGTAAAAAAAGAAAAGTTATTTTGATATGTAATGTATCTCTTAGATGAATCTTTGAGACTTTCAAAGACTCTTTGGACTATCAGTCTTTCCATCACATTTCCAACTCTGCTTGTTAGACTTGTTGGCCTATAAATCTGTGTTAGCTGTTTGTCACCTTAAAAAAAATATGTATAACCTCGGTTATTTTCCATGCAGAAGGAAGTTTCACAGTGTCAAGTGCCTGTCTGAAGAGTGTTGCACTATTTTTTTAATATATTGTTGGAATATGGTCTGGGTCACAAGGGGAGCGTTCGTCCAGTCTGAGGAGGATTTGGGCTCTGTCTATATTTGTAAATTCAATATTTTCTATTGTTTCTGTGCATCTGTTTGTAATATTTGGTGGTTGATTCAGTGGTTCTATTGTGTAAACCTCTTCAAAGTAGTCTGTGAAGTGTTCTGCAATTTCCAAGGGGTCAGTTTCTGTGAGCCCCTGCAGTGTATGGTTCTAGATGGTCCTGTCTTGCACACAGTCTTCTTCCTGATATAAGAATAGAAACTCTTGGCTCCATTTTATATCACTTGCTTGTCATATTCCTCTCTTTTCATCTATATGTCTGATGTGAGCCTGTTAAACATTCTTCTGTAGTCCTCATAATGTTTGTCCTATGCTTTGGAAGGTGTTTTGTTATTGTCTCAAAGTTTGCTTTAAAAAAGTTTAACTTCTCTCTAGTGTTATTGGAAACGTCTCCAGTTTCTGGTGTTTCCAATTGCATCGTAGTGACAATTACCAGATGCTCACTTTGTCCTTTGCATGGTCTCAGAGTTGGGGGAGTGATAATATCTTCTTCATTCACCAGTACCAGGTCTAAAATTGCAAGGGTTTGGTTCTCTCTATATCTCATGGGTTCATTGATTTTCTGGCTAAGGTTTGAGTCAGTGCATTGTTGTAGGAATTCCAATTCCACATCAATCCTGGATAGAGCTGTCATCAGACCATGTGGTAGGGGGGAAATTGAAATTGTCCTTATTTATGACAGGTTCATGAAATTCTGAAACTGCAAATCTGTTCAAAGATTTTGATGTCTGTTTGTGAAGGATTTCAGGTGAGATGGTCTATAAATTCCTCCTATGATCAATTTAACTGAACTCATATGCACTTTCAGCCATAAAGTTTCTGTTTCAGGATCTTCAAAATTGTGGATCGTCGCTACTCTCACTGTTATTGTTCCGATTTTATATTGCACATAGATCAAGACTCTTCCACCTCTTTTGTCTACTCTGCCTTTTCGGTGGATAGAAAAATCTGGGTTATGTATAAGACTGTCAGTAATGTTGATATTAAGTCAGGATTCCGTGATTACTATTACAGTATTGACTTCTTCAGAAATTGACCGAACTTAGGAATGAGAGACGAGATATTGGTATACAGAAGTATTGGGTTGATTGTTCTTGTTACTGCCCATCCTTGCTTTCCTTCTTGTCAACAGTCCACAGGTTACTCCTAATATACTTGATAATAAGGTTAGGATTCACTTTCTGTTTGTCAGTTGTTCCCTGAGATCTTTCAGCTCTTTTCTCTATAATGGTGTAAGATCATTGTTGACCTTGATTCCTTTGAGTAGTTTTCTACTATTTCTCAGTATGGTTTTGGCTGAGCGTCTTTCATAACTACTTTAATAGGTCTGGGTTTTGAATTTTCCTGGTTCAGTTTCCCCAGTTGCATTATATACATCACACGACCCTGAATATCCATATTCAAATTACCCAGAACACTCGCAATGGTGGTTTGATCTTGAGCTTCTCTTCACCTACTCCATAAAACAATAAATTTCTCTTGTGCAGGTCGCGTTTCTGTGTCTCTCTAAGAACCTTAGCATTTGACTTTGGGATGGTGCCAGCTAATTTAATATCATTCAGTATTTTTCTAATCTTATCACTGGTATCTTTTTTGTAGCGTTTCCAATGTATCACATCTTTTTTCAAGTTTTTCACATTTTTTTCTCTGCAGTTATCAATATGTGAGGACAGCTTGTTCAACGCATTATCTAACAGTTTTTTTCACGTCATTTTTGATATCATTCAAGCCTTCTTTCTGGTTGTTTGTTAAATTTATTTCATGTTAAGTGATTTTGCCTCTCAGTTTCTTAGTTGTTTTTTCTAATTCAAATACAATTATGACGTAAATGTTTTGTTTTTTTCTCGTGCATTCCACCTCAGGGAGACTTCTTTCTGTATGTAGTAGTGACCTACATTACTATCTTTGGCACACATAACCGACTTTGACCGTCACTACATGAGAACTAATGTTATCAGAAGTCTTGCTTACATCCACAACCAACTCTGTCCACCGCCACACTAGTACTCGTGTATGTTTGTGTCTATTAAATTTTGCAGGTGGAGAGAGGTAAATGGACAAGGAATTCCGTTGTTAAAGTTCACAAGTTTTGTACTTTGATCTCTCTCTCTCTTTCTTTAAAATTAATCATTGAATTAAAATAATTGAGCTAAAAATCAGAAAAATCAATGTGTACATTAATGGGTGTAAAGTAATAGATTTCAATTTTTCAATTAATCCATGATGATGCTATTTTATTCCATAAATAGCTTTTGCCATCTGTAGCATGACACAGCTCCGATGTGAGAAATTATATCTCATTTGGCATGCATGAAGAAAATTCTTCTTGGTAATTGTTTTTTGGTTTAATTTGAAAAAAATCAACGTGCGTGCGTGTACTTTCAGATATAAAGTGATACCAAAATTATGTCTTACTCATATAAATGATATTTCTTTTAAAACAACTAGTTTTTCCAACAAATGCTAGGACAATAAACCAATGGCTAATGTACAAAACCTGCAAAACAGTTGGTGAACTCACACTGATGAACATAAACTATTGTTATAAGGAGTAAAAGCTTTTTTGTCAGATAATTGTCCAGCATTTTTAATGATTTAGATTTATTATTAAAAAATTAAGAGAATTCAAATTCAACAGCTGAAAAGAAATTTCATTTTTGTTTAAATGAAGTCCATTCACTTGCAGAATCAAACGAAAAGAAAGTAGTCTTGGTTATCTTCATCTGTATTTAAAGTATTTTAAGTATTTCTTTTTTTAAATACACCTATTTTATGTATTTAAAAATATCTCTAAACTGCACATCTACAAAACTCAAAAATAGTTTTTCAAATACGACATGTATTTCAAATACAAGTATTTAAATACAGCTCAACCCTGCTAGTATGTTTAATTGTCGTAGCAGACTATCAGTTATTAAACTGATTGGCTTGCATGGAAATAAGGCCATCAATTGTCTTAGTGTCTGAATAATCTCTGAGAGAAAAACCTGACATAATGATTTTCTGTAATGAGTGTGCAAAAATATGTTTATGAAGTTAATTTATTAAAGATCAGTTAATCTTCTGTAGAGCAATTTCATTTTTGTTCTTATAGATGAGAAATTTGTTATTTTTTCCCCACAACTAGTTGATATGTTTTTAGAAGCATTTTATGGGCAGCCACAATTTTAATACGCAATGTTTTTATTTTTGTAGGCAAAAGTTGAATCCAGTGCTTTACAACATTCAGTAAAAGAAGAAGACATTAACGATGAGGTGAGTACGTTTCTTCATCTTCTTAGAATATAATATTTTTTAACATATTGGGATAAGTAAGTCCTTTTGTAATAGACAAGGGAACAATTCTTAATGTAACTATAGGAGAGTAAGTGAGTACTTAAGTGAAGAAATAATGGAAGTCATCTCTGTCAACCAAACATATTTAGAGAGCTGGTCTTTTGACAGCTTTGCCTTCATCATCAGAGGCTGATGATGAGGGCAAAGCCGACTCTCAAAGTAAATATATTAAATTGAAGGAAATGACTTTCATTATTTCTTCATGTAACAACATCAACAACACTGCATAAGAATTCCTACAACACAATATATTTTTTTATTCAATTATGATGTCCTACTTTAACACTTATTATAGTAGTATAAGTAATATTGAGTAATTATGCGCACAATTGCCAAACAAACAATTCTCGTTGTTCAAAGTGCTTCCATAAACTTATTCTCTCTTCAGCTAATACAGTTGGCCAAAATTTTGCATATCTTTTTATTGCAATTGAAATTTTAGGGGAAAAGCGAGTGTTATTATTGCTATATATTTACCTCCCTATGGTCGGGTGGCAGCTGATATTGTTTTGAAAACCAATCACAAACATTTAAAGAACCAGTACAAAATGTTCAAATTTAGTTATGCAGAAGTGCCTCAATACTAAAATGAAACATTACCACAAGTAACTGATAATTGTTTGAAGTAATATTTTTAGTAATAACAGAATAAAATCTAATGTATGCCACTCCACTTTTGAATACTTATCTAATGGGGTGGTAAACAGTGTTCGTATTGCCTGTTTTCAATATTTTACTTACTTAAATGAATTAAAAAAAGAAGATTGGAATTGAAAAATGAGATTATCAGGCAAACAAGTGAGAAAATAGCATAGGAAATTAATACTTTCTGCCATTGAATTATTATGAAATTCATTGTGGGACCTAGTTGGGGAAAATCATATTGAATAGTTAATAATCATATTCGGGTGAGTTTGGATTTTTTATGATTGATACAAAGGTAATTATAGATATAAAATAGTTGTGTTTAGATTCTCTAAATCAGGCTTTACACCCAGCCCTAATTTTCCTTGTGGCATACATTCAACCAGGCTACTGCAGGGGCATACATTATTTCTTTGCTGCAATTCTTTTTTACATGTGCAATGTTACTGAAAATTCTTTTGGATGCTTCTTATTGCAAAATTTTATCTGCTTTGTGTCTATATTCTAGGTCTATTTTTCATAAGGCTGTGTCATATTTGCAAGTTTCATTGAGTGGGTTGATTTCTTTATCACCTCGAGCTAATCAGTTTTTGAGATTGGTTCCAGAGCCACTATTGTCATTCCGCTAAATGAGAAAGTTCAGTGAAAAATATTTTGTTAAAGTGATAACATAGAATGGAAATATTCTGAAACTATGTTCAAGATAACTAATTTTAAAAGTTAATATTTTTTATATAGCATATTCAGTCAACATTTGGAGACTTTGTGTGCTTCTTCTTGTTTGCTTATGCTTTGTGATGGATTATAAATGGAAGAAAACAATCGCAGTTAACTGATGAAAAGAAATGATATTGTAGTTGCAAGATTTGATTTTGTAATGGGATATTTGAAACTGAAGGAAGAAGGTATAGAATTTGTAATTTTGGATAAGGCGTGGTTGTTTTCAAAAGGCAGGCAGAAATATCTACAAAATTCTTTATATTTGAAAGATGTGAATGAGTGAATGAATAAGGCATAATTTGCATTACTAAAATCTGGAGTCAGGCAGCATAGGTAATGGCTTGTTTGTATCATGAATACTGGTTGTCCACTTTCAAGCACCTTTATTATGGATTAAAATAGTTTTATTTTTGAATATCATTTTAGATATTATTTTTAACAATCTACCTTTTAGTTTTTACTTCTTGGCCATGACGAGATAAGAGTAGAGTGTGCTGCTTGAGGAAAAGTTCAGATGAAGGGAAAAGGTATATTTTTACATAAAGGTGGTTTCATTGAAGATGCAGAATTATTATTTCCATCAAAGACAGAAGTAGTGTATGAGTTTTTGGGAAATATGACTTAGAAATTTTTAGAACTGGATGAAAGATTTGTACCTCAATTGTCAAAAACATCTGTTTATTAATGGACAATGCAGCTGTTCTTTCTATGATAGTGAGTAACATTTATCAACAATGGTTCTGTTAAGAATGTGAAAAACACCAATTTATGGAATTTATTTAATCTTTTTTTGAAAATACCTGATTATAAATCAGATATTGCAACTTTACATTTCAATGGTAAGACAAAAGGGATTGTCTATTTACATTCTTCTAAAGACTGGAGTATAAAATATATTAAATTCAATTGTGTTTACCGTAATTAGAAGACACATTTGCTAATACAATGAATTTATGTGTTTAAAGAAAGCATGAAAGAAAGAAATATTATCGTTTCAACACCTTAGAAATATTTAATCATCCATTTAACTTTCTTAATTTCATAGAAAAAGTGAACGCAAGAATTTTTGCACTCTACACATCCCACTTAGACCTGAACCTACTTTCTTATAAAGTTCATGTAAAAACCTTCAGAGGCTGTTGTTCAGAAACAGTTATTCACTGAATAAGCACAAGTTTTGCTGAATTCAATTACAGAATATCACAATTGTACTTTTTGTATGATTTTGATACAATGTGATTGTCAATGGTCTTACTGTTTGAGAAATTAAATTAGGTGATGAAGTAAATAAGAAATGATTTTATGAGAGTTATCATGGTATTACCTCTTTCGATCACAAAGCATCAACAAGAAAATGAAAGGAAGCATTAGAAAAGATTACTGTGGAGGAGTAAGACAATATTGAAATATTGCCTTGAGATTTTTTGCAGAAATGTTACTAATATAACATTATCAATTATTCCCAACACTGCTATATTAGGGATAATTATGTGGCACATACCGAGAAGAATATAGAAGAAGAGTGTAGAGTAGAAGTAAGAAAGGATGCTTCAGAAATTGCAGAAACAGGAAGTATTCACCATGACAGATGATGGAAAAATTTCTCTTGATTTCCCATTCTAGGATCCTTTTGAGTTTCTAATTAATAGGATTATTGTTGCTCCTGAAATTGGATTGAAAAATATTTGACAGCAAGTTGCAAACTTGTATATTATCCCAATAAGGGCAAGTGAGTGGTTGTATTCCAGGTGAAATAGTGAGAATGTATTGTTGATCTGATCTTGGCTTATTGAAATGTATTTTTTACTACTACTGATATTATTATTGTAAAATCTATATGTATACTAATATTTAAAGACAGAAATGCGTTGCCTTACAGTGCTATAGTTTCTGAATCTGTTGGACCAATACCGATGAAACTTTTGTGCTAGCTTCCTTTAAAGGCCTGAAGGTCTATAGGCTATCATTTACAACCATACACCGTAATATCTTTACAAAATAATTACTTCTCTGGACATTTTTCGCCTAGCATTACTTTAGTGATTCCAGAGTACATCAGTGATAATAGTTTAGCTGTGCGCCACCAGAGGATGACATCTAAAATCTACTACTGGTTTCATAAATGTCCAGAATTATATTGAAATTCATTGGGCTTTGAATAGGGCTATGTATGTCGGTGAATGAACGTGGGTGGGTGAATGTTTGAAAGAAAGCGATAACTGAAGTGGTAAGGAATGTCAATGTATATGCGCTGTCCTTAGTGCCTGTTATATACAGTGACATAAAAACATTGAGAGTTTGAAAGTGTGGATGGAGTTAGACTGAGAGAGTAAAAAGTACAATAATATACAGTATAGAATACACAGTAATGTACAATATATACATATCATATACTTTCTAAACATCTTCTTTTACAGAAATTTGTGAATTAAATTGTTTAAAGCTATCGTTAAATGAATGTCGCAGTGTCAAAACAGACTACATGTACTAAAAGATGGCTGCACATAGAAATCCGGAATCGGCTACTCAGAGGCAACAGTGTCTTGCTGAAGAACACTGCAATACTACAAGGAAGGAAGCAAATTTCAGCAATTCTCTTAAGTAGCAAGGCAGCTTTTCATTATAACCCTCAATTTGAATATTCACATAGCTCTCGTTGACAGATTGGTAATATGGAAAATGTTTGTATTTTGTGGGGTAAGAAAATGGGCATTTGAACATATCATGTTTTTGTTTTAATGGGAGAGTAAAGTAAAGACCCTTACGGAGCCTCTTGAAATTTTGAAAAGCCTGCAACTTGGTGAACATCCTTTATTACATTTCCTGCACCATTTGAGACAATGCAACTGTCTTTTCTAGAGGACATATTTTGGTTGTACAAAACATAAGAAGGATTTCATATGCCTGCATTCAAAATTCAGGGCCAAATTTATCATCGTAGTTTACTTCCAATAACAATCCCTAGCTTTCTGCAGGTGTATTTCCTGTCTGAAGCATACCAAATGTCTTTGTGTCAAAACATTGCACCAAATTTAAGTACAGAAATTATACAAATAGTACAGGTTACGTTGCACACACATAATCAATATATTAAAAGTTTTAACTGTGCCATATAAAAGTACTTCCAAATATTCTGGACTACTAAAATCTGTACTGACATTATCCCTGTCAATTATCACAGAGGCAGTTTTAAACAACGAACAAAAAATAAAGTGGCTATATTACTGGTGGATGAAGATAAAGGGCCCAGAGATGTGGTATTACACAATAAGAAAGGAAAGTTACAGCATGTACATGGTGCTTTCCTCCCTCTTCAGTATCCAATCACATTTGTTAATGGAGAAGATGAGTATTCTATTAATATGTATATTTATGGTGAGTTAGTTTGGTGCTGATTTGTCTGCTAAAATTATTACAGAAAGACAGCTATATCAAACAAAAAAAAACAAACCATTAAGGCAGAGAGCTATGTTCACCTGCAAGATGCAATTAATAATGACAAACAAAAATCCACGAAATATTCGCTAGCAGGTCATTTTGCCACCTACTTTTAC